TGCAGTGGGAACCTTTCAGTGTATTGAGTTGATTCTATAGATTTTGACCCTTGACAACAGCTTTGCAGACTCTGCATAAGGTGATGATCTCAATAAAGTTTTCGGCTTTGCCCGTTTCCGATCAATTTGAAGCTAAAAGGGCAATCTGGAGGGATTTTAATCTCAGGTTTGCATGGGGTTATTTTCTTTAATAAGTAGGAGTGCTTATTTCTCTAACTCTTTTCAAAAGAGTAAGAGATTTAAGTATCTTTAGTTTGATCAAGCAAAGTGAGAATCTAGCTATCTAACCTTCTCTCACCCATCGTTATCAAAGGATAGGGAGTGACGTGTTAATTACCCTTTTACCTTCTGTTGAGACCTTCTCTTTTGGGCACTTTAAAAGAGTATATCAATGAACAAATACTACAAAGCACAAGACACATAAACCATATAGATTCCTCCGTCTGATCTTATCTCCTGCAAGTGAATTAGAAACGGTTGTTAACGTGGGTTCTGCACTGATTTATTCTCGTTGCCATCCTAATGCTATTGATGAATATATTTTAAATCATTCTCAATTTTATTTTCACAAAAGAAAAAGCAAACAGTTAGAAAAGTACATAGTATTTCTAGCTAATTGGAAATGTGAAACAAGCCACGGTATCAGGTATCAACTGAAGGACAACAACTATGTACGAGTTGCAGAATATTGGCTTTTATCTAACCCGTTCAAGGTCTTTTAGAAACTTGATTTTGATCTTTTTCAGCTTCAAAACAACATTTTTCATGTCAATCCTCTCCTCAGGTAAATCTGCAGAACATTCACTACCCAATTGCAAAATGGACAAGGCACAATCCTTTGTTGCCAAGTGTTCTCTCTCTCTAGAACTTAGCAAATTTTTGTCCACAACTTGAATTACTGCAGATGGTAAAGACTGTTGCACCCAATTCTTCAAGCTCATTTCTCCCGAGAACATTTCATCTGTGGGTTTTTTTCTTGTGAAGATTTCCATCAAAAGAATACCGAAACTGTAGACATCACATTTTATGGAAATGATTCCCTCCGCTCCATACTCTACATATGAATTTAAATTCATCATCAATTGATTAAACTGTGCATTCATGTTGCATCGAAATGAAAAAGATCAAAGAAAAGAAAAAGGTTAGAAATTGTTTGAAGTAAAGACTTGCATTACCTGGTGCCATATACCCAATAGTTGCCAATGTCATTGTTTGTATCACTGAGCCCTCTTCACCTAAAAGTTTTGCTATGCCAAAATCACCCAAATGTGCACCCATATCTTCATCTAGAAGGATATTGCTAGGCTTTAAATCGCAATGCACCACGGATGTTGTTTGACCATCATGGAGATACTCTAAAGCAGATGCAACATCTATCATTATGTTCAGCCTCTGCAAGATATCTACAAAATGGTTGTGAGAATACAACCACTTCTCCAGGCTTCCGTTAGGCAGGAACTCTAATACCAAAGCTTTAAAATCAATATTACAGCAACTACTCATGATTTTGACCAAATTCCGATGGCGAATGTTTCGAAGGACCTCACACTCAACTTCAAAGCTCTTAAAGGCTTTTTCTAACTCCAAATTGAACACCTTCACTGCGATGCTTGTTCCATCTGGCAGTGTCCCTTGGTATACTGAGCCAAAACTTCCGATACCAAGCAAATTGCTTTCACAAAATCCATCAGTAGCTTGTTGAAGCTCGTGATATGAAATTCTTCTCCATGTTGCTAAAGGTAAAATATCTCCGTGACTTGGCAAGCTTGCTTTCCTTTTTTGACATCGTAAAAAAATGATGATCAAGGCCAGTGTTAATATTGTTATGGCAACTACTGTTGGTAGAATATATTTTAGAAGATTTGTGATCTTCCTGGATCGATTATGAGCGTTATTTTTGCACGGTGGGAGGTGCAATCGAGCAGCACCACACAATGCTTGATTCCCCATAAACGATTGAATCGAGTAGTTTGAGAATGCTCCTCCGTCGGGAATTTCTCCTTCAAGTCTATTGAAAGAGACATTAAAATATTTGAGATTCCAAAGCTTTTCTAGGGATCTAGGAATTGTTCCAGATAGATTATTTCTTGACAAATCCAAGAATTCCAAGTCTATCATGCCACTAGTCGACTGAGGAATGGAGCCCTGCAACTTATTACTAGATAAGGAGAGATGGGTAATGCCTTTGAGATCCCCAATACTAGCCGGTATATCCCCTGATAATTGGTTTCCTGATAAATCCATATCAATCACAACCTTCCATTTTCCAATATCAATTGGGAGAGGGCCAGTTAAGGAATTCGAAGACAAATTCAAATGCAAGATATCTTCCAGTCTTGTCAAGTTTAAGGGTATTGAGGATGTAAAACTGTTGGAGCCCAAGAACAGAGATCTTAGAGAATTGAGATTACCCAAGCATGCCGGTATTGGTCCAGAGAGTTTGTTGTTGGTGAGAAGTAATAAACTCAAGCTCTCCAAACGACATATATCAACTGGGATCGATCCTTCTAAATCATTGTCTTGCACAGAAAAAGATTGCAGGTCTCTTACTCTGCCAACAGTTGCAGGAATCGTTCCAGTCAATTTATTGTTGTCCAGGTTCATGCTCACCAAGCCGCCTAAGTTCCCAATTTCTCTCGGGATGCTGCCCTTGATGTTGCACCCAGGAGCAGAGAAAACTTCAAGAAAACTTGAGAGATTTCCAATCGAAACTGGAAGTTTAGTATTGATTAATGGATTTCCATCAATGTACAAGTATTTCAAGTTTCTGCAGTTTGTCAAAGATGAGATGAAGCTCATTTCTGGGGATGAAAGTTTACTAGAGAAATTGTTATCCTGCAGGTTGAGATCTTCTAGATTTCTTAGATTGCCAAAAGAGTCCGGAAGAATGCCAGAGAAGAAATTACTTTGCAGCTCAATGCTAATAAGCTGGGAGGCATTGGAGAGAGAGGATGGGATTTCTCCACCGAGTTGATTTTCTCCAAGATAAAAGTACTCAACTTGTGGAAGCCAAAGAGTTTCCGGAAGATGGCCTGAGAGGCGATTTGTTTGCAGTGACAAGTACTGCATAGTTGAGCTGTTAAAGAAAGCAGGAGGGATAGGACCAACGAGTTTGTTATCTCCCAAATATAAGACCTCGAGATTAGAAAGGCTCCTAATCTCAGGTGGAATTGCACCTGCCACAAACTCCAATTCTAACCTTTAAGTGACAAAAATTTTTTTCAAAGTACTATTTTTCATAGTTGGATATACTCTATATCAAGTACGAAAATATTGAAAGAAATTAAATTTGGTTTGCATATGCCTAGTGGAAATGTTAATTAAAAATTTCAAGTAATTTGTTATTTTATAGATTTTCATTGGAGTAAATAGTAGGGAAATGAGAATTATAAAATCAAGCACCATGTACTTATATATCTCATTCTTGTTTATTATGGTTATCAGCAATCTATGTAATCAACAACCTGTGCAGTCAAATACATTCCCCTGAACAATCTATATGTAATCAAACACATGTTGATAATGAAGCAATTATACAACAATTTCAATTTATGAAAACACATGTGACAACTGTTAAAGAATATCTTTACGTTTAGTAATTCCTTTTTTATTATAAATTTGTGTCTTAATTTTTTGTAATGACACTGTTGTTATTTAAAGATTATGTATGAAAGATTTATATTCATATATTTGTGTACTATGAAAGATAATACTCCTCAAGTCCACTTTTATATGTTCCCTTTTGATTTTTAAGGAGATCGGGAAAAAATTATTGCCTTTAGTGTATTTTATACTAAAATTTTTATATATTTTTTTAAATTGTTCAATGATGTTTATGTCAAAAAATAAATTTCTTATTGTTTGGTTTTTCATTTCTTTAATAAGGAATGCAGGTGAAACCGTGAGAGTTCAAGTGTGTGAACTGTGAAGAATATTACTCCAATATTTAAAATGGTTGCAAGTAAAATAGTATAGTGGAGGAAAAGAAGAATTGATACCTGTGAAGTTGTTAAAGCTTAAATCAAGAGTTGTAAGAAGAGTTAGGTTCCCAATAAATACAGGAATAGAACCCAATAGTCCAAGTCCTGCAAAGCTTAACATCTCCAAACCAATAAGATCACCAATTTGCCTGGGAATTTCACCTGTAAAATCACCATGGAAAATGGGAAATCAATGAAAATATTTGGTAAAATAGGTGGGACAATTTGAAATGAATATAGCGGAAGTTAACTATCATTTTTCTAAGGGACTTTCCCCTTCAAGGTCCCATTTTTTGGTCTAGCACTAATCTACAATTTAATTCAACCTTTTTGCTTTTCGATTTGGTATAAGTAGGGGCCTCCATCTCTTAAATCAAATTCCTATTGGTTTAACTGAGGACAAATAGTCAACCATGTCTTGGATGGGGCATTAATCTAGTATATTTTAATGTAAAAATCTTAAATTCAATTATGCTTAGGAGATGATATTCAGAAGAAAATATGGAATTATCTTCCATTGAATAATCCAAGACCTAATGAGTTTCATATGTAAGAGGAATTAAAAAAAAAAGATGAAAGGGGTAACTTAATTAATTTAATTATATCTAGGTTTACATAATAAACAAAAAGTAATTGTGAGGCATGCAACTTACAAATAAGTACAACAAATCTAGAGTCATCCTAAAATTTAATTCATTATTGCCCTTGATAGGCCTAATTGGTTTGTAATTAAAAGCAAAGATATGCCAAATCTAATCACTGTTGGATTTATATTTATCATCAATTAATAATTTCAAAACATACTTTGCACAAAAAATAAATAAATAAATAAGGGTTTTCAGTGAGAAGTAGATTGTATTGTAATATACATATTATTTTTTAATGCATAATCAAACAGCAAAGTAAAAGTTAAATCCAATCAGAACAACATTTTTGACCTTGTAAAGAAAATTATAGCCATAATTGAAAAATATACAACCTTAAAGCTGCAATTAGAAAATATACAACCTTAGCCAATGTATAGAAAAGTATGGCTGCCCTTTTTTATGGGATTCAACCACAACATTAATATGCAGCCATATACTATATGACTGCAATCTTAAATCATATGTTGTAAACAAAATATTAATTAACAAGATCTAATTTTTAGGTATTTACAAGTATTCTAAACGAATAATTAATTATTGTAAACAAAATATATATAAATTGAAAATTAATTACTTTATCAATAAAATGAAATTTCCAATTAAGAGTGTTCGCTGGTTTTGCTGGATGCCAAAGCAATTTCGGGCTCAGATTACCTTTAAAGTTGTTCCAGCCAACGAACAATGCCTTGAGCGTAGTCAAATTCCCGATTCCTTCAGGCACAGTCCCCTCAAATTGGTTGTGAGACAAGAATAAAACTTGTAATTTTTCATGCTTGACTAAGCCTGCTGGGATTCCACCAGAAAATAGGTTCCTATCCAAATAAATATTTTGTAGTTCAGGAAGGAGATCAAACGTATTGGGAGGGAGATGACCAGTGAGATTATTAAAGCCAAGGTCAATGATTTGAAGAGAAGATAAGTTGAGTGGGATGAAGGGTATGGAACCAGTTAGATAATTGCTTTTGAGTTCAACAACTTGCAATGAAGATATGTTAAAGATTGAGGAGGGTATGGAACCTGAAAGCTGATTATTCCGCAAATATAACATCTTCAACCTTGGAAGATTTCCAATATCTGCAGGAATCTGTCCTTTCAGATTATTTTCATGCAAATCCAAGATCTCTAGCTTTGGTAAATAGCACAGAGAAGAGGGGATAACACCCGTGAAGAAATTTTTTTGCAAATACAAGCTTTCAAGTTTAGGGAAGGAACCAAACCATGATGGCAGTTCCCCGGCAAAGTTGTTATTAGCAAGGCTTATATATCTCAGCCGATGCAAATTAGCCAACTCGACAGGTAATGAGCCTTCAAAACCATTTTCTTCGATGTTGAGGAATGAAAGAAAAGATAAATTTCCCAAGTGAGGTGGGAGAGTTCCAGTTAGACTCAAGTTAGAAAGACTAAGAACTGTGACTCTTTGGTGCTTGGATCCGCAACTGACACCAATCCAATTGCAAACAGAGGTAGATATAGACCAGTTGGCTGCCAAGAGGTTTTGAGGGTCATGGACATTGGCTTTGAATGCAAGAAGAGCTAGTTCGTCTGTGGTGATGTTGGCTGATTCCATAGACAAGGAAAAACAATTATGCAACAGCAACACCAGTATAAGATCAGCAAGAGTGAAGTGAGGATTTGTCATGAGTTTAAGTGGGATGAGGAACAGGAAACACCACCTGTCTGGCAATTGAGACAGAAATGATTGTTCTGTCTTTAAATATGTTTTTTGATGTTGAACTAGAGGAATTCAGTAGTATTTCTTATTTCGACAGTGGGAGCTTATCTCGGGTTAATCTTTATACCGGGAAGGCCTAAATGACTGCTATGAAATTGCACTATGAGGCATTCAGTCCAAAATTACTTGCTAATAATAGGCAAAAAGTATCATGTTGCATATAATTTATATGAAATGATAACAGATTTACTTGGATAAGTCAAGACTCAAGAGTTAATTGTTCTAAAAAAATTTTCATGTCTAGAAAATGTGGTTCATCCAAACTTCAAAATCTGGTTCCCTTCTGAAAGCCGATGGATTAAAATACAAAACTGACAAGAAAAATATGGGATTAAGGCAATATAAAACTTTTAATTAAATTTCTTGAATAAATTTCACAAAGGACAACTGATTTAGCTTTTGCCTCTTCTTTTGGAAACTTTGTGTTCCCTTTGTCTCGAAAAGTAGAGAAAGGGGGTCGTTAAATTTCTTGAATAAAATTGCTTCTTACCTTTACAAAAAAAAAAAAATACCCTTGAGTAGTTCATTTTATTTCATCACAATCATATCATCATATCATCACCACTTGTTATCCCATCCTTTTTTTCTAAACATATTTGTGCATTGGTCTTACTCTTGGTACCACATCAATCATCATCACTACCCATGTGTGGGAAAAAAATGGACTAATAATTCTTTCTTTCACAGTATCTCTCATTTCATTTTCTCCTTTTATAATGTATATGTAATGCATATTTTCAAAAAAGTTCCCCAGAATGACCTAAGAATCCACATTGGAATACAAAAAGCCCTTAGTGGGATTCCCCATTTACTTCAAGTCATACTCGAGTAGAAGTGCTTGATGCCATCCATGCATTCTACTATCTGGAAGAACTAATGAATGAAATTAGAATTTTATTATGGTAGTCTGACTTGATTTCCCTATTCTTATTCTTTTGAGTTTGTATATTATTTTAATATAAAAGAATATGGTGTTTGAGTGTGCTTGTATGTTGATGAGATTAGGACTATTCTATAAAAATTATTCAACAATAAAGGAGTGGTGCACTGATTATTGGATAACTAATGCAAGTGATAATAAATCAATCTATAGATGGGTATTTACCCTAGAAGAAGATTTTATTTCATGGGCTTCTAAAAAACAAATATACATAACTCATTCTATTATGAAATCTAAGTTTGTTGTTTTGGAAACTGTAGGAAAAAAAGAAAAATGATTGAAAAATTTGTTATTAATGAAAATTTAATCGTGGCCACAATGACGACGGCCATCTCTTTGTACTGTGGCAATCAAGCTACTATGTCTAGAGTTAATAGAAATTCTAGACATATAAATTTGAAGTATATATAAGTCGAAGGATTAATTACTGATGGAGTAATTACAATTGTATATGTGATAACATATAATAATTTGGTAGATCATTTTATTAAAGGACTGGTTAGAGAAATGGTGAGAAAGACGTCATTAGGGATGAGCCAAAACCTTTGCCTAAAGCCCCCAATTATTGAAACCAAGCCTTTTCTCTACGTCAACTACTGATTAAAAGGTTCAATTAGTAAAAATAAGTTATTGATAAGTGATTATAGAAGAAGCACTAGGATTTCAAGTTTTATCTTTAAGTGCTAAAAAATACATTAATGGAAGATTCGTGCTATACTCTTATTAAGGTGCAATTATAAAGTATACGTCGAAGGCTTAAACGGAGTGCTAAAAAGAGTGGTGCTGCTTCTAACCAAAGTGATGGGGTTAGCTTTTGAATATGTTCATAAAATACAAAGATGTAATACGTGGCCTAATAAGTGCTATAATTTATCAGTGAGTTTCTAGTGAAATTGGATAATATCGTATGTGTGGTAATTTCAGTTTTAATAAAAGGAATAATGGTGTAATTAATTAAGTTATCATTTGTACTGTCTAAACTTTAAATTACTTGCAATACAAAAGATTCAAGCCGAAAGAAAATTTTCTTTTATTTGATATTATTAGTGTACGATTTTCTTTAACATTACCATCTAAGTGGGAGATTGTTGGAGAAATTAGTCCTAATAGATTGTAAGTTAAAAGGTGAGAGAATATCTATCTAAGTAGTACAACACAAATAGCTTCTGAATACCATTTGGAGTGATACCTTTTGATGCAAAACGATGATCTTGTGATGAATAGTGGTAAGCTTTGATGAATAGTCATAAATTATTTATAAATAAGCATTGAAAGTCAAAATTAATTCATTCAGAAACAATTATTCTTTTTCTGTCTCTTTTCTCTGAGTCAAACTCCTAATATCTTTGAGATAAGATCTCATCATCATCATGAACGACTAGTATTAAATTTTTGGCATGCACTTAAAAGTTCTGATTACCTGTTAAAAGTGGCCCTAAGGCACTAAGCATTGAAACTAAAACGTCAAACCCATAATATTTGATTGAAGTAGTTATTCCTTATCTTGGTGAGTGTAGGTCCACCTGAAAACGAAATGAAAAAAAGAAGATATTTAAGTTGTCTCTCAGCTTTCTCAAAGGTTAGACCTTTTTTTCAAAAATGGTTTTGAATTATATCTTATAGCTATTATTTTCTCTTGCTGTTATCTTCCCAAGGACTCGTAAGTCTCACTTGATGAAGAACAAATGGGAATTAGTGATAATGACCTCTGCACCTTTCTTTCTTCCTATAGGAAGAGAAAAGTAAAATAGAAATTGATATCCAATATCTCTCCTACACACTTGCAAAATGCAAAGTAAACTGAATATTCTAAAATCTCTACTCAAATCCTTCTCCCTTATTGCTTAAGCTAGGTAGGTAAGCCCAAGTAGAAAAGCGTTTAGACCTTGGTTCATCATCCTTGTTTAATGGAAATACAGTAGTAATATTGGAGATACTTATGTAATGTTTTACTCCTTTTTGAAACAGGATTAGGGGTAATTAGGTTAGCCTATTTTTGTTCCTGTTGAGCCGCCCACTTATTGTTTATGGGGTGCTCGGCTCTTGACGACAGCTTCTAAGACTTTTCGCTGTGAACGCCATTGTCTACTCAAATGATTGAAGTTTTTGACAATTGTATAGCTTTTCTTTGCCCAGATCGGATCTGATCATATTATGAGAGTCTTTGGCATTATAAGTAAGAGACTTGAAATAACATTATAGTGCTGAGACTAATAAATATTACACTTTCTTTTTTTTTTTAAAAAAAAGAAGTAATGCACTATACTAGGTCAAGGTCGTCTTTGATGTGCTAACAACCAACATTTATTTTGCTCCATCATTATTTAGCTGATCATTAGGAAATTTGATTTAGTTCTATATAGTTAGTAGGAGAACGAAAAGCTAAGTGCACGATATTAAAAATTCTAAAGTAAATTCTTTCAATTTACTCTTCAAATTTTTTGTTTCACTTTCATATCTATTCATATGCATTACATAAGTCAACTAGAGCAAGCTGCTAGTCTTCTCAACATGCCCTTTTTTTTTTTTTATCTTTTAAAGATTCTCTCAACTTGCCTTAAATTAGTCATTAGCTCTACAAATAGTAGCAGTCCATTAATATCTCAATAAAGGTCCTTTGATACTTTCTAGATGGTTGAAAAATGTATGTAAACCTATATCTTGAATGCAAGTGTTTAAGTCCTTAGTGAAGTATTAATAAATTACTAATGCTTATGCATTAAAATTTATGTAATTCTATTGTAAACAAATTATATAATCTTTGTATCAAAAAGTGAGATAAGGTCTAAACTTACCACTTCACTTAAAGTTATGAATTAAAATTACGATCTATCTTTCGAACAGGGGTAATTTTAATGTGCACATATAAATTTGTTAAAAAATTGTCAACATTAACAATAAGAATTCTTATAGAAAAATCAAACAATATTTCATGAAATGCTCTAATGAATTTTGTTGCGGTGAAATGTAGTTTGTAATAATGTATGACAACATAATGCTTTACATATCACGAAACAGATAAATTTTACAATATTATTATAAAATTTGATAAAATATTTTTTTACTAAAATTAAATTACTTGTAGTGAATTCAGCTTGAACTAAATATTTAAGCATGCTCAAAAGTGTGATATACAAATGCTGAACTTGCAAATTAAAACATTTTTATTTTATTGGTACATATATGGAGACAGGGAGTAAGGATTCGGAACTTGGACCCTAATCCTTTTAAAAAGAGTAATAACTACTAAACCAAGGCTGAGCTAATTAAAACATACTTATTCTGATTCAAATCTAATAGACTAAGATCAATGTAGCTCAAGTTAGCCACAACGACCAGGTGCGAATCCAACCCTTCCATTGGCATCATCATAGACGACCTCATACCCCTTCTGTTGAAAATTTCCTAGGATCATTACATCATTATCATCACCATTTTTTGCAAAAGCCAGACAGGCTTGAGATATCTTGTTAACATACAAGATCCCTCTAGCATCAATAGGCATCTCAAGGCCCCCATCAAAGTATAAGCTGATCGTTGGCATTACAACACTAGTATTACCACTAAAATCAAAGCATGTCCCTAGAGATTCAAATGCTGGTGCCCTTGGATACTTGGTCATCCTTACTTCGAAAGCTCTCCGGACTCTTGAATAGGCTGGCGGAGGGAGGCGTGTGATCAAAGATGCCGAGTCAATGACGGTGCCTGAAGTCGTAAAAACCGACCTGTCAATGGATAGTCTCTCGCCTCCTACGCCTATATCAACAATATCAAGGCCGTAATAGTGTGTTCCTTGAAAGGAACTTGACATGGGTGTGAATTGAACGGAACTTGGGAGGTTCTTATCACCAAATCTTAGGTATCCGGTTGATCTATCACTTGGTGGCAAACAATAGGAGAAAACTTTGTGATACGTGTTAGCAGTTTGGGATACTATGGAAAACCATCCACGGCCAAGTCCTAATACCCCAGCTGCACTTCCACCGTTAGGGAAGCGATTTCTTTGCCCACAGCCAAATAAGAACCCTTGAAACACATTTGAACTTGTTATGGTTAAGGTGTCTTTAGCCATGTAGCCAACGGAAAATGTTGTATTACTGTATGTGACGCCATACACACATGATGATGAGGAAGAGCAACCTGCTTGCATACCTACAATTATAGTATTAAGTATAAAAAATTAAGCACACACTCTGTTTAAAATTAAATGTCCACGATTTAACTGAGGAGCAACATATTAAATTTATTAATTAAACTAATTCTAAATCATCATTACCTTCGGAAGAAATTTGTTTGCACGTGGCCGAGGAGCATTGAATGTTGGTATAGGATGATGACTTTGATGGATCGAATATTGGTTCCTTTTGTTCATAGCAATATCCAAAGCATGGCTGGCACTGAGTCCAAGTTAATTGACTAGCAGTGTCAAATACCAGGGAAAGCTCCGTTTTGTGCGAACCAAAGCCCATGGTGACCTGGTACTTGCCGGTGCCAACCGAGATTCCTGGTTGGTCTTGAAGTGATGTCTTCTCCGTGGAACTTAGGGAGAGCATGGAGTGGATTGAATCAGCTCGGGCTTGGTCTTGGCGGAGAATTTCAGAGTGAGAGGGAGCGTTTGCTTTGTCTTGGTTCAGTTGAGAGCATGGACCATGCTTGTTTACAATCGCTAATGATGACTTTTCGTTGGTAACTGAAATACATAAACGTAACTCAAGAAACATACAATTTTTCTCCAATCCCTTTATACAAAAGGAATTAAAAACATAGTAATATAATTAACTTCTGCACATGAGTGATTAAGAACATGCTGAATGCTTAATTTTTGAACCCATTTCGAAATGTTTTGACTGATTGAAAATTTGCAATAATTGTTGCACAAGTGACAAAGATGTTCACCTAATTAATATGAATGATTTATCTATGAATCTTTTTTAAATCTTTCATGTATAAACGCAAGGAATTTGTTTGGAATTACGTCTCAAAAGAGTAGAAAGAGAAACACAATAGGACAGAGAAAGTAATTCTATAAAAGCCTTAAAGCTATGAGTATTAATTAAACCTTTGCTAAGTGATTTGCAAACAGTTGATGGCAGTAGAGAACTGGTTCGAAGAACGTAAGTATGGAGAAGATCCTTGCTTTCCACAGTACTAGTTGTTTTTCCTTCAAAGGCATAGATCCCTTTTGAAGAGCAGACAAGGTAGAGAAAGAAAAGAGAAGCGGAATGGAGGAATACAAACAAGCTGGAGAACGGGGAAGTGGCCATGGACCATATATCTAGCTAGCTCTTTGTAGAATTGTTTCAACTTGGAAACATTTGCTTCTTCATTACCTTTATATAGAAAATAATAATACTCTCAGTAATTGTTTTCTTCTACTTCCATAGCAATAAAAATATGTTAATTTGTAAACAAAATTAATATTTTCTTCAATTAAGATTCAGTCTTTGTTGACAGCCATGGAAATGTATGTTAAAAAAGGACATAGTGGGTTAGGTAACTCCCCTCTCATATTTGAATGCATATTTCGATTTTCACTTATTAACAAGTTTTAAGTACACCCACAACATGGGTGGAAGAGGGAAAAAATTAATTTTTTGTTGACGCAGCTCCATTTGAGTTTGGGAATAGCCACCAATATCTTTTTGAGCAATTGACAGTTCTTCTGTAATTGTACAGGTTCAAATTTGTCTAAATGAAGTGCTCATATCATAGGAAGTTTCCAGTCAAATAGACTAGAGACTTAGTTGAAGAGGCTAATAAAATCGCATTTTCAAAATATATATATATATATATATATATTTTTGTGGTGAAGTTTTTTTATTTGCAAATGTCAACACTCTGAAGATTTAATGTGTAAGACAAAAAAAAAAATCAAACCACACTTCATTACTTAATATTTAATTAGCTCGAACTAAATATATAAGCACGTTCAAAGATATGTTATATAATTGCTCAACTTGCAAATTAAAACATTTTTATGTTATTTTATTCGTACATGTATGGAGATACAAAGTAGAGATCCGAACCCTGAATCTTAATCCCTTTAAGAAGAGTAACAACTACTAAACCAAGCCTGAGTTATGAAAAACATTCTTATTCTTATTCATATCTAATATACTGAGATCAAAGTAGCTCAAACTTTGCCACAACGACCAGGTGCAAATCCAACCCTTCCATTGGCATCATCATAGACGACCTCGTACCCCTTCTGTTGAGAATTTCCTAGGATCATTACATCATTATCATCACCATTTTTGCAAAAGCCAGACAGGCTTGAGATATCTTGTTAACATACAAAATCCCTCTAGCATCAAGAGGCATCTCAAGGCCCCCATCAAAGTATAAGCTGATCGTTGGCATTACAACACTAGTATTACCACTAAAATTAAAGCATGTCCCTAGAAATTCGACTGTCAGTGCCCTTGGATACTTGGTCATCCTTACTTTGAAAGCTCTTCGGGTTCTTGCATAGGCTGCCGGAGGGAGGCTTGTGATCAAAGATGCCGAGTCAATGACGGTACCTAAAGTCATAAAAACCAACCTGTCAATGGATAGTCTCTCGCCTCCTACGCCTATATCGACAATATCAAGGCCGTAATAGTGTGTTCCTTGGAAGGAATCCGACATGGGTGTGAATTTAACGGAACTTGGGATGTTCTTATCACCAAATTTTAGGTATCCGGTTGATCTATCACTTGGTGGCAAAGAATAGGAGAAAACTTTATGATACTTGTTAGCAGTTTAGGATACTAGGGAAAGCCATCCACGGCCAAGTCCTAATACCCCAGCTGCACTTCCACCGTTTGGGAAATTGTTTCTTTGTCCACAGCCAAATATAAACCATTGGAACACATCTGAACTTGTTATGGTTAAGGTTTCTTTAGCCATAAAGCCAGAGGAAAATGTGGTATTACTGTATCTGCCGCCATACACACATGATGATGAGGAAGAGCAACCTCTTCGCATAGCTACAATTATATTATTAAGCATTAAAAATTCTCCAAATGATTAAACATAAAATTAAATATTCACTCTGTTTGAAATTAAATGTTCATGTTTAACTTTGTCATGCACCTGAGCATTTAATTCATTAATTAGTGCATGATCTCCCTACTTAAAAAATAAAATTCAAATTTCCCTCACCTCAACTATAAAAAAAAACTTTGTCATGAAGATTTAAAAAAAAAAATGTTTTTGTTTTGTATATATAAATAAATCTATAATTTTAATAAACTATAGTTTTTAATGATAAAAAGTATATATTGAGAAGTAAAATTTTATATTCATTGATTAACTAATTCTAAAACATCATTACCTTCTGAAGAAATTTGTTTACACGTGGCCGAGGAGCACTGAATGTTGGTACAGGACGATGACTCTGATGGATCGAATATTGGTTCCTTTTGGTTATTGCAATATCCAGCGCATGGCTCGCACTGAGTCCAAGTTGATTAGCCAGCAGTGTCAAAAACCAGGGAAAGCTCCGTTTTGGGTGAGCCCGAGCCCATGGTGACCTGGTATTTCCGGTGCCAATCGAGAATCCTGGTTTGCCTTGGAGTGATGTCTTCTCCGTGGAACCTCGGGAGAGCATGGAGTGGATTGAATCAGCTCGGGCTTGCTCTTGACGGAGAATTTCAGCATGGGAGGGAGCGTTTGCTTTGTCTTGGTTCAGTCGAGGGCATGGACCATGCTTGTTTACAATTGTTAATGATGACTTTTCGTTGACAACTGAAATACATAAACATAACTCAAGAAACATACAATTTTTCACTAATCTCCTTTATACAGTAGGGACAAAAAAACAAACATAACTAATATAATTAACTTCTGCAAAAGAGTGATAAAGAACTGGCTGAATAATTAATTTTTAAACCCATTTTGAAATTGTTTGACTTATTGCAAATTTTCAACAATAGGTGAGCAAGTGACGAAAATGTTTTCCGAGTCAATTTGCATGATTTATCTATGAATCTTTTTTCCCTCTACGAAAGCACTTTGTTTGAAATTAAAATTTAGAGTAAATTACTCATTTGATCATAACTTAATTTTTCTGAGAGTTTTTGTTTTGATTACTAAACATTAAAGAATCACATTTGATTACTAACATTTATAAAAGTTACTATTTTGATCACACAACATTCTCACATTAGTTAACCTTGGCAACTTGTTATGTCTATATCAATTCATTTGTCATGTGATAATAATATTTATATTATCAAAAGTAAGTTGATATGAGAAATCATGTCAAACAGTTGTTAAATTTTAATAACTAATTAAGTAATCAAAACGTTAACTTTTATAAACTAATTAAAATGTGATTTTCAAAATTAAGTGACCAAAATAAAAACTCTAAAAAAATATAATAATAAATAGAATAATTTACTCTAAAATCTTACCCACTTCCCGCCCTTACCACTTGAACTATTAATTCATGAGAGTGGGAGACATTAATTACTCTCACCATCTTGAATTGTTTGTTCATATTTGATTTAATTGACACGGAAATTAAGAAAGATATTTTGATTTTAAGTTAATTTATATTAAAATTTTAATATCTTACTATATTGATGTTTGACGCCAAAAAAATGTCAAATATTGAAAGAGTAATACTGTGATAGTGGACAGTTTTGGAGCTACGTCTCAAAAGAGTAGAAGGAGAAAGACTAAAGGATGAAGAAAGTAATTCTATAGAAAACCTTAAAGCTACGGATATTAATTAAATCTTTGCTAAATGATTTGCAAACAGTTGATGGCAATAGAGAACTTGTTCGAAGAACGTGAGTATGAAGAAGACCCTTGCTTTCCACAGTATTTTCCTAAACTAAGATTTAATCTTTGTTAACAGTCATGGAATGTGTGATACCTAACATCTCATATCTGATGTGAATGTGATTGTTAAGATTTATACAACAATTTAAGTCTACTACTACTAGTAACTTAAGCTTAAGCTTTTGAAAGCCACGTGATTTAAACTCAAAAAGTTATTGGGCCAGTGGTTGGGTTTAGTCATTACAAATGGTATCAGAGCCTGCGCCAGTCCGATGTGAGTTTTCACATTGCTCTGATGAGATCTTGGACCTGTGAATGTGATGTGTGGTCAATCTAAGTCTACTACTATTAGTTTCAAATTCAAAAAGTTACTGAACCAGTGGTTGGGCTTAGGTCGTTACAGAATATATATTCAGAAAGGACATAGTGGGTTAGGTAACTCCCCTCTTATATTTGAATGATATTGTGATTTTTACCTATTAACTAGTTTTTAATACACCCACTACATGGGTGGAAGAGGAAAAAAAAATTATTTTTTTCTCGGCTTTTAATTAAGTAGGAAGATACACGTACGTACTATTTGTTAAAATAATTATATAAATTATCTAGTTAAGATACAGTAGTACCTGTGGGCTGTTTTGTGGTTTGGGCATATTTTGATTGTGGGTCCGGGATGGAAGGTATGAGGGAGGCGATGGAAGTCATTGCAAGTAAGGAGTTTAGGTTGGGTGATAGTGGGAGGAGTGACGAGTATTGCATATAATTTTTCATGGCAGATGGTTGAGATATTTTGATGATGGGATTTTATGTGTTATGCTTTGAAGTACTCTTCATGGTTTGTGAGCGATTAAGATTTTTATCTTTTAGCCTCTGTTGACAGGTTTAGGATGCGACGGTCATATCTGTTTTTGGTAGTAGTTAAAAATAAAATAAAATAAATATTTATAATTATAAAAAAAAGGGGAAGAAAGGAGATGGAAAAGATAAGAAAAAAAAGGCAAACAGTGAACAATAGACTAAAGTGAATTTGCAGGACAATGGGGAGGGTTGGGGGGTTTCTGTGGGCAACATTGTTTTTTCATTGATACTTTGCTATGTGACTCATGTGGGGCTGCGATTCTTTGGGTTTAGGGGCCATTTCATTCTTGTGCTCCTGATGTTGGTTGCTGACTGTGTGGGCTGAGTGAGGGGTTGTGGGGAGGGAGTTCGTATGGCTCCTTCACTTCCTCGGTTTTGGTGGGTGATTGGGGATGCTTTGGTTTATGGGGTTGAGGGAGTTTCTGGTTTGGAATGCTCTGTTTTGTAAAGGTTTCATTTTGTGGTCTATGGGTGGGTCTGCGGGTTGTGTGATCCTTTGGTCTTTTTGTAAGGATCTGTTTGGGAGAATTTTGGTGAGTGAGGGATGATTGTGTCTACTTTGTATGGTGATTCTCGTTCTCTCTGGTGTGTCATCCAATGTTGAGGACTTCTGGTTTGGACTTTGATCAGGGATATCCTACGAAGGAAGAGGACTCTTCATGATATTTTTTGCCTTCTTTCGCTGCTTTTTGTTGTTTTTGCCTTTCAGTCTGCTCTTTCTTTTGTGTTGGCAACGTTAGGGAGTTTGATGCTGATTGTGAGAGACGTTGACACCGTTTCTTCATTAACGCTTTGTTTTTTCATTTTTTTTTTTCTGAGGAATGTGTTTATGGCTTTGTGCGGGTTGAGGGGTTCAGGGTTGGCAAAGAGTTAAGGGTTCTCTGAATCCTGTTTTGGAGCATGGGAGATTATGCATTGGCTGAACTGTAAGGAGGACAAGAGGTTGCTGAGGAATTAAAGGTTTTGTTACGTAGCTAGTGTCTCTTTGGATTTAACTTTTTGGGATTTGCTAGTATGAGCAAATTATTAAGAGCTGTAGGTGAAGAGATTGATTTTCATTTTATTAGTTGGTCCTTTGTTTCATAGGAGTGATAAAGGTTCTTTTAGTGCACTGAGCTCCCTTTTTGTGTATTTTTCGAGGTTGCATGGGAAAAGGGTGAAGGGCTATTTCATATTGTGCCTAGCTTTACTTAGGCTTAAGATACTGCCACAGAATTTGAAGTGGTGGATTGTTTTGTAAATGTACAGTTCATGATCATGCACATGGCAGGTAATATATGTCAAAAGAAGTCTTTAAAGATTTCGGTAGTGTCAAAAAAATTGCTTTAAAAAAAAATAGAATCAACTTTTTTATATATATTATAAATATACCTCATTCATCTCCATGGAAGATGTGGAGGATTTTAATGAGTTTGAAGGCATTTGTACTTAAATCAGAAGTATTGTCTTCACACACACTATGAGAAGCGAATTCAATGACAGACTCTCTTCCGATGATCGGAGTTGACCCATTAGATATGTTATAAGCATGGTGCTAAGAACAAAGCAATGGTATGGCAATGCTCTCTGGGCTTTCCTTTATTTTCAGATTAGAGTACTATTAGGGAGGATGTTTTTGTTGATGAAATAGATGTTATGGTGTGCTTTCCATTTTGTTTTGTGTATAAGGATAGGGGAAGTTTTAGTGTGTTATTGGCTTTGCTATTTGTTTTGTTTTAATGTTTTCAATCTCACTACATTTTTGGTGTGTTGGGGTGGTTTTGGCCTTTGCAGGAGGGCTTGTTTCCCACTGCCTACAGTCTCCTTTTTGTAAAGACTTGGGCTATATTTCAGCTTTATGCTCATAATAACACACTTGATGTTGATTGAGAAAAAAAAATGCTTGCATGCAAAATGTAGTTTTTTCAAGTGCAAAATGTAAGTGAAATAAATAAGAATTCAAATTCTATTATATAGGAAAGAAAATGAAATGATGAGTTTTTCTCTTTTTTATATATTTTTTATTTGATGCTATTTTATAATTATGAACAACAAATTTGATGATAGAAGTTAGTTCAAGGTTCGATTCCCTCACCTTAACACTTCCTCCTATTTAACACAATAAGATAATACAACTTCTATCTAGGAATTAATTTAAGGCTCTCTTCATATGTGTTAAATATAATTATGGTCTAATTTTTGAAAAGATTTTACAAAAACCATATTATAATTTCGGTGCAAAACAAAGACTAATCAAACAAAGCTTGGTTGTTTGGCTTTTGGCAGGGGCTTGCCATTGTCAGAATTACCTATACTTATAGCAATTTGGATTTTTGATTAATCCAAATTCACACATTACT